ATATTCAAGTCTAACAGTTTTCACTTTTCTTGTTATGGTTGAAGCGTGTCAATAATATTCTGTTATGAGCAGCGGATCCGGTGAATTCGAAAGGAGTTAACATGATAAATGATAATTATATATGTTTATGCACACATATAATATATTAATATCATAATATCAAACCCTCCGCATACTGTGTAAATGTAGAATATACAAATTAAATTTCATTTTTCTGTAAATGAAAATATCGAATAACACAATTGGTGCAGATGATCTCTTCCGCCAATCGATAACACTAACGTTTTGCTTTCTTTTTACAGATCATAATGATTTTTGGACCAAAACTGGTCATCGGTTTTATCCTATGGGCGCTGGAATACAAAGGAACAAATGGTCACGGACGACTAATTGAACCGCCCTCCAGGGCATCAATGTGGAGGTGAGTTTTTTTTTCAGTCATAGGTAATGAAATCAATTGAAAACCCCGACGCTTTTTTCTATAGATATGGCTTCAATTCACCGCCAAATTACAATGACAACGAGTTGTATTGCGGTGGTTTCACGAGACAGTATCAGACGAACGGAGGCAAATGCGGTATATGCGGCGACCCGTGGGATGTTCCGCAGGTACATATACCCCACGCACCCCTTATTTTTTGCTGATTTATAAAAATAGCATTCATTAAAAAAAAATACATTCCTATGGATCTTTAATATTTTTAAATTGTTTTAACAACAACTTATATAAGGAWCAAATAGGAATTTAGTAACGAAAAAATATTTATAGACATTTAAAGAAATAAACGGAAAACAATTGAAAATTGAAAATGTCTTCACGTATAACAATATTGTTCAAAAGACGACAAAATATTTTAAAAATTTTACCATTTATGGATGTACGTATTAAACAATTGTTAATGTAAGTACCTATCTGGAGAAAATGTCAARTACCTACTTATCTATATACGGATATCCGTTTTTTTAATCCGCATCAAAATATTAAAAATTGATTTGGGAGAAATGGTTAATTTAAAAAAGAATTATCCAATATCGAAAAAATTTAACTTTAAACACTTACCTATTAAAAAAAAAAAAATGTTTTTACAGTAAACTTTCTGTTTGTTATAGGTAAAACAACTAGATGAGAAATTTAGTATTGAATTTTTAAATCTTATAATTATAAAAAAAATGTCTTTATGGATTTTGTCAAATGCTATCAAATGCGTTTCAATGTTTTTAAATGATTTAATACCTATATGAACAACTTATGAGCAACCTTGTATTAAATATTCCAACTTTTCGGCTAAATGAAAATTTTGAGATACCTATATATATAATATCAGAAAAAAATACGAATATGTCATAATATATCTAAACTGGCTTTTAATCTACACTAAAAAAACTATATCGGTTTTGATATAAACTGATTGATATAGGTATTAAAAATTTAAATATTTTCGTTTTTCCRAGATTTTTTAAATTTTTTTGAGAATTTTCAATTAATACTTTTCAAAAGTACCAAATCGCTCAGCTCAAAAACTAAAAGTATATTTATAATTATGTTCTAATGTGAAACACAATTATAATTGGTGATAAATAATTATAAAAGTGATAATATTAGTATGTACCTACCTGTTATAGTCATTTACCATGTCAAGCTCAGTTCAATAAGCACAATGTTTTGAACGAAAAAAACAAAAATAAATCACGAGGGAGTAACCGYTCCCCCCAACCTCACTAGATAGTATAAGTTTAAATGAGTAATTCCACTTCTGTGATGTTATGCCACACTATACGATTATTGAAATCACTAATTTATTCTACAAAATATTTTTTATTTAATTTTGATAATTATTTAATTTTTATTAAGAAGAACTTGAAATTAAATATAATTTAATGAGACAGGGAGGGGCAAGTCAAAGAATGTGAGAGGACAATGTCACAAAAATATATACCTGAATAAGATAATTTACAACGCTCTTGTGTTATTTTGCAGCCCAGACAACACGAAGCTGGCGGAAAGTATGGCCAGGGAGTGATCGTGCGCCGTTACAAAGTCGGACAACCAGTAATTGTGCGCATCGAGCTAACGGCCAACCATCGCGGGTACTTTGAGTTCAGGCTGTGTCCGAACAATGCACCCAAGCAAGTGGCCAGTCAGTCGTGTCTGGACAAGTACGTTTTGCGGAGGGTTAAGGCCAAGGACTCCATTGAAGCGTTCCATGAAACTCGATTCTATCCAGGCACTGAGAACAAGGTTTACGAAATGAGRTATCTGCTCCCCGACGGGTTGACATGCAGTCAGTGCGTGTTGCAGTGGAAGTACATAGCGGGCAACAATTGGGGCGAATGCAGTAACGGCACCAGTGCAGTGGGCTGTGGCCCACAAGAGGAGTTCCGGGCATGTGCTGACATATCGGTGTCAGACAGAGATGGCACAGTCGATACATCACCATACCCAACTCCTATAACAGTAACAACATCTACTACCAGTGTCACTGAGTCTGTGGACACCAACGAAATACCAGACACAATAGAACATCATAAGCCACAATCTACAGGRTTCAGCTTGGCCATATTTATCATAACTATTATATTATTATCATTGGGCTTCATTTTGATGGTATTCATGTTTGTGTACTGGTACTTCTATCATGCTGGAGACACAATAAAATCATGGTGGAGAAGAATGGCTGAATCTTCTTATTCTTGTATGCGTAAAAGTKTCAATGAAGAAAAAAAAACAAGCAAAAATGAACAGCCTATACCACCGCCTAGGGTTAAAAAGACTACCATAGGCTTCAAAGGCGTACCCGACAATCTAGTTTAAGAGTAAGAAATTATAAGTCATAATTTATAAGCTGTAAAGAAAACTTTTATTATTATTTTTTTACATTTTACAATTTGTGATCACACTTAAGTTAAAGTGATAGTTTATAAATGTACTTATTTGAAATCTGTATATATATTTAATATATTATTATGATATAACTAAGACTATGTGTGTCAAAAGAAGACATGGTTAATATGAATATTTTTTTTTTTAACTAGATTTTATTTATGAAACTCTTAATAGTGATCTAAAAAGTAGATATTCATAATGATTGGCTAGGTAAGGTGTTAAGATTGTAATGATTATTTTATAAATTCATGATGTTGAATGTAGCAAAAAYTAAATGTTAAATTATCATGACAATAAAACTTTTGRTTTTAAAGAKCATATAAATGCMAGTCTTTTAATTAAAAACTAAATGTTTTTTTTATTGCTTGTTTGATAATTATTTGTTTAACAGATGATTTATTTTAGCATTTTTATAATTTAATTGAAAATACTCTTACAATCAAGTCTATAACAAAAATAATTTGGTTTTATTGAAGATAATTGAGAATATTTTTTTAAGATGTATTTTCATAAGATATAATATTTAAATGAAATATTTTTACAAAGATAACATAAAATAAAATAAAGTATTATTTTTCTATTTTAAAATTAAAATAACATTCAGATTTTACTTGCTACCAAGTAACATTTTTCTGAAGTCATCATTATTTAGTGGAGTTTTATCATCAGCAGACGATGATGCAGTTGGCACAGACTTTTTTTGCAATACACTAGGAGTAAAAGATAGTTTTGCACGACTGAAAAAAAGGAATTATATTAAAAAATATTATTGAATGAAATAAAAATTAACTTACCGTCCTACTACTAGACTTGAAGCCTGTGATTTAAATTTAGCAACAGGAGGATAAGATTTTATTTCTGAAGGATCTTTTCGTTCTGGTGGCCGACTTAATGCTACTGATATAGTTCTATCTTTGACGACCATGTTGTCTGTTTTTAACAATGCTTGAGCAGCTGATATCTAATCAAATATGTAATTAAATATAAAGTTATGTCAAATTATTATATTTATATTATTTTACCTCATCCTCAAAATCTACATAAGCTAATCCTTTTGAATGACCATTTCTAAATGTCACGACTCGAACATCTTTTAAAGCTCCATATGGTTTAAAAATATTTTCAATATCAGTTTTTGTACAAGTGAATGGCAAACCTATGAAAAATTATATTCTTCTATAAATAACTTAATACATACATGCAATGATAATACATTATATGACATATAAGTTATTTCAATGTTTAATAAAAAATAACACAAAAAACATTTAATCCATTATTTAAAATTTTGACTGATTGGAAATTTAAAATTTGAACAAATTATGATTGAGAACTTTGCTAATTTTTTCATTAATAATTTATAATATTAGTAAATAATAAAGATAATGCCATAAAAAATAGTAAAATCTGGTAATTAATTTTAGATTAACATGATGGTTTTGATTTTTTTTTCATAATAATTTGATCTGAATTTTAAAAATGTATTAATTAAAGAAATATTTAATATTGTTTTAAATCACTATATACTATATWATATAAAGTCTACATTGTTATAAATTTTGTAACCATACTTAATTAATTTGATTATCAATAAACGATTGTGGACAGTGGCGTGGCGAACATCTTTCAAACCCTAAGCAAATTATTTATATTATGACCCCCTCCATAAAGGTATAATTTTCTGTATACACATTTTGAATGTTTGTTCTAGGGCTAAGTAATTGCATTAGGTTAACGTYGTTCACCACGCCACTGATTGTGGCCGGAGGAGAAGTACTAGCACCAGGGTTCCTCCTTCGGTTCTCGATATAACAAAAAAATAAAARTTAATTAATTTGATAAATATATTATTCTAGTCCAGAAGAATGTGATTTATAGAATATTAGAATAATGACATTTAAAAAAAATCATTTTGTATATAGATAAATGTTCCCATTATATTTTTAATTTGCATGTGTTTAATTTTGTTGAACATTTAATTAATTTTAACAATATTAAATATATTTAGAATTTAAGCAAGCAATAACATAAATTGTTGTTTGTACATAATTTACTGATAAAAGACTAAAAACCATGTAATTGGATTAAATTAATGTTAAACTTTTCCTGAATTTTATAAAAACCAAAATGTTTTACCTTTAACAAACAATTTGTTTTTTTCTAGTTCAGTAGGAAATCGTAATCCCGACGATCTACTTTGTTTATCAGGTTGACATTTAGATACAAACATTGGGCGATTATTTACAGGTTCRCGATCTTTTTTCAATGCTTCTGCAACCATTTCCTGTAAAATATGAATAGATATAGATTAATATTAATATTAATATTTAACAACAATAATTGTTCATACTTACAGGTTTTTCAAAAAGCACATAACCAAATCCTTTAGATCGGCCTTTGAAATCTCTTACTAATAACACTTCACAATGACCAACTGAAGACAATGCATCTTTCACTTCCAATTCAGTCACAGCAAAATCCAAGTTGCTTACAAATACAGAACGATTTTCTTTACCTTCAATTTCCATATGTCGACCTCCTTTGTCCAGGTTTATTTCAGCTAAAACAATTTTTAAAACAATATGTAACATAAGAAAAACATTTATTTGTTATTATTAATATTTTACCCATTTTTTTAAATATTTTCCTCATGTTTACCATGGTTTAATTTCAGTTATTATTTTAAGTAACACACAATAGGTAGTACAAAATAAAATAAATGAATAATAAATTATTGTAAATTTAGTACATTATTTAGAAATTCCAATATCAATTATCTAAGTTTCAATATTATCAACTGAAATGTGATTAAATTGAGTTTAAAACACGGATATAGATAGTAGATACTATTGATATCTAAATCTGTTGTTGAAAAGCCATACATTATTTTATTTT